AAAACATGTCTCGTTATGTATCTATCTTGGTTAGCACTTACTACAGCGACGCAACATTGCCTATCCTGTGGATGTTTCACGATGAAAAGCACTCCTTTTCTTGGTAGTTGAAAGTGAGACACCCAGCAGAAGGAAATGTTGGGTTTGCGTCAACAGTAGCTCGGTAGAGCAACTGTGTAAAGAGAGTGAGCTGTAAACAGTGAGGCCAATATCAATCAGATGAAATTGAGCTGGATTAGATGCATTCATCGTTTATTCTGAATGCGGCGTTGGAATGGCAGAATCCGTCACCACCAATAAAAACAAAACAAAAACAGCGTTGATACATTAAACGGCTATTGCATTGCAGACTTCAAATAGCATCAACAATGGGGTTTGGGATTATAACTTTATAAATAAAACAGCAGTCTGATGCCACATTTTAACAAATGTAATCACATCTTTCTCTTTTGGTGCTGGCCAGGTTTGTCTTCATCATTAGACAGGGTGTATAGGTGTTGATGGCTTCCCGTAGCTTTGTTGGGTGCTGCTCTTTTCCCCACTGGTTTGAAGTAGCATATATTGAGGGTACCGGCAGACTGTGCGACGCCACGCTACACACACCGAGATGGTGAACTGTGCTGTGTGTTTGTGTGTCTCAGGTTCTCTGTCCATGTATGTGCCTATATGTTAATGTCTGCCTGTTATTAATGTGCTCACAACCTGCCCAGGAGAACAACCCATCTCCTAAGTGCTGTTCATCCGTCACACGGGGGGGATTAAGAAACGGACGGTGGGGTGTTGGGATGTGATGCGTTGTTGGTATCCATCATAATGTGGGGATGAAAATCTATTTCAGTAAAAGGATCATTCTGGCTAATTCATCACAACTTAGTTTTGGCCATCATTAATAAGCTTATAATAAATATTTTACTTTTTTTGAGATCTGGTAACACAGCAGCAAGAAAACATCCGATCACACAGGCTTTAAACAAACCCCCCTCCAGGTTAGTGAATGTGAAATCCAAGGAAAAAAAAGTAAATTCTGATCCAAACATTTTGTTAAAAACATCACAAACATCCTGGTTTAACTTTGATGTACTGTAATTACTGACACGGTTTTCCGGTCCAATTAAGGATTATTACTCGAGTTTGGTGAAACAACCAGACTAAACTGTTAAGTGGCTTGTTTTGTCCGATCGTCCGACTGCTCATGTTTCTTGCCCTGTTGAACTTTGAACTGTTGTAGCAATGTTACAGAGCGATTGATAAAAAGACCGATACCGCTTTAAAGCTTCAGTAGGAAGACCTTTGCTTCGTGTAAAGACAGTTCAATCCGTACAAAAACCAAGTTAAAAAGACAAGATGAGGTTTTACGGGGAAATGACCAACAGCTTAGAGAATGCACATAAAGCTGCACAATCCTCTAATTTTGCTCTTTTAATTTAATACAAGAACATCTTCAAAGAGCAAATCAGCACCAAACTAAACTCACATGTCATTGGCAAACACTGAATATGTGTACCAGATTTGATTCATTCCAGTAAGAGCAGTTGAGTTTAAAAAAAACTCCAAGATCTGCAGCTTTTCTTTGGCCCATGGCCTAACCTTCAAGCAGATGCCACTGAAATATTTTAGAGCACCTGTATCAAACAAACAGGACTGAAAATGTAGCTGTCTTGGCAGGGAAATATTAAAACTTTAACCTTCCTCTGCCGGATACAACATCTTTATTGTATTTCTTATCCTCAACTCTCTCTGACTCACAGTGTGGATCTTTGTTGCTGTACTTCTATGACACAGAGAGGTCTGAGAGGAGCATCAAACATTGGAAATACAATAAGATGTTTTTCTGTTGCAGAAGCTTAAAACTTTTAAGGAGGTGGTTCGATATCAAATTTCCTCGTATGCTGCCGTTCGCTTCTCTCCGACGAGCTGCTACCTCGCTGAGATTATGATCAATGAGTGTGTGAAGATATGAAGTTTTTAGATAGTTTCTAGATTCACTGACTCAAGGAACACTGGACTTTGTCGTTTTATCGTCGTCTTGTTTACAGCGAGTTTGGCTGCTCTTGACCACGTGTGTCTGTGTGTAGATGTGCTGAATAAAACAAGGTTGTTCAGAAAAACACACTCCTGTAAAGAGGCTCGGTGTCCTCAGTAATGTGTGGGAAAGGTGACGCACCGCAGTCTCTTTGTGTGTCTCAAAGTCACCAAGCACTGTTCTTCACGCTCTCTGGGTTTTTTCTCAGTGCCTACATATTGTTTTTTTTATACATTTACACAGTTTATCCTGAAACCGTCTCGCCTACGACACCATAGCCTTCAACCTTTCAGGAAAGCAAGGTTAGAGTCCACCTCAGTCTCTCTCCATATGACGGTTTGTACGCTATAAATCTTTGAGTGTGACACGACTGGAGAGCGAGACGGTCATGATACTGAGTGCTGGAATATTCCACACGGTTGTTCTCAGCGGCGTGTGTTTGTGTGTGTATGCGGGGAAGGCGATGAATGATGCAGAATGGAAAAGAGGCCGACAGACTCTTAACAGTTCCTCTGCATGCATCACGATAGCTACAAGTGTATTTACTACAAAAGGAGGTCAAGTGCAACCCAGTAACTGCTACTGTATCTATTCCTGCACTCCCGTTCTGTCTTCTGGCCCTTCAGCCGGCATCACTTTACCTCGGTACAAAAAGAGGTCAGGCAGAAATCAGCCGTCTCTGCATGTTAACGAAAATGTTTCGTCCCCCCCCGCTACACCCCCATGTTCCCTGTTCTCGACTGTTTGTTTACCCAAGCTTAACCCTTAGTCAGCAGCATGGATGTTTCCTGTGCATATGTGCGTTTGTTTGTTCGTGTGAGTAGCTGGCAGCGGTTCCTACGCTTTCTCTGGTGGCCTAACTGGGTAGTTTGTCTCATGCTACGTGGAAGGACGTCTCACCATCAATTATAGATTGTGCTGACTGGGTGGAAAAGCCTTTTGCTATTGCGTAAATGCCCACAAACGCTCGCATACGCCAGTGTGCATTTGTGACGTTTATACACGGAGCTTGTGAAGTCAGAACTTCCGGGTTCTGCTCTAGAGGGCCACCTGGACACCTAATTCATATTCTCATTCACATTTGCAACAACACGCATTACAATTGCTCAGCAATATGTTGTCTCGACAGCGAGGGAACATTCTTTTAAAAACATGTAATATTTCTGTCTTTAGCTTCCTTTAAAAACATTTCCCACAAGCCCAAGACTGTTGCAGAATAAATGTCACCAGGTTGACAGACTGAGGCCATTTGAGTGACGAGCTATGAGAATAAACAAGGAGGGACCAACAGTAGGGGAGGGCAATGTCACAAAATGTGGTTTTGATTCGATGCGAAGTAATACCAGGGCCAGAATCATCAATGCTAATAGCTTGTATTATTAAAAGTATAATGTATTAGTGTGTAGAGGAGAGCCATGTGTCATGATTTATGAGGGGCGTTCATCATTAAAAGGCTTCTGAATACATCTTCATTAACAACAAATGAATTGCAAAAACAACAAGCACTTCTTTTTGCTGTTCTTCGTTAATAACCTGATCACATGAGCGTTAACACACGGGACGGTTGTTATTGGTCAACAATAGGAATGTTATATTTGTGATGCGTACAAAGATACCATGCACTAAGAAGAGCGTCCATGTGTCTACAATGAGATCGAACATGAGATGGGTTGAGTCTTTGGTATCAGTCTGGTTGCTATTTGCATCGATACTTAAAACAAGTATCTTTAAACGTTAGATAGTGAACATGGTGAACATTATACATGCAAAGCATCAGCACAGAGCCGCTGTAGCGTGACTGTAGAACCTCTTGTTCAGACAGCAGAGATTACAGCTAAGAAGCTGGAAGGGATATAGAAGAGAGCGTTGGTCAACAACATGGATAATGAAGCGTGTTGTAAGGACATTTTTAAAGAAAGATCAAAGAGACGCTCTATTGAGAGATGAGAAGGAGTCACAGAAGCTAGTGGAACGGTGGGTAGCCAGGATGTGACATCAGGACTTTTGCTCTCCACAAGGACAACCAAAAAGTTCAGAAAGGCTTTGTCCCATTCTCAAAAAGAGCATTGCTCTCCTTCTCAGAATAGAGGTGAAAAACCTCTCTGCCTCGGCATTCATCTGTAATCAATAAGGAGGGAACAGCAGCCAAAGGATGCTTAAGAGGATGGCCGGACCTTTTGCTCCTCCCCACTCAGTCTTCTTCCTCCTCCATAATGTCACATCCTGTTTGTTGCTCTTACAGCTGAGAAAAAAAGGCTCTCAAAGAGAAGAGGGAGCCACTATTCTAGCAAATTCCCCAGACAGAGAGTCACTCTACACCCCTCTCTCTCTCTTCCCAGCCTACTCTTTCTCTCACAGAATCACTGCCTCTTTATCTTCTTACTGCCTTATCCCTCCCCTCTACCCCACTCGTCGCTCCATCTCGCCATCTCTCTCACCACTTCTTCATCCTCCTCCTCGCTGCTCCGCAGCCCTTTGCAAGCCTTTTTCTCTTCCCCTCCCTCCGTTTCTCCTGTTCCATCAGACATCAGCTGTTTTTTTTTATCCCAGGAAGTGTTTTATTTAGAGCGGATTAATTAATTAGATACAGTATCGGAGTAAGGGCCATTCTTAGCCCAGGGTCCATCAAGGCCACGAGGCTAATAGCGTGGCAGAAAAATGTGCGTGCGCACGCACAGCATTTACAAGCGGTGTGTATTTTTAAGATTTGCAGGTGCCTATTGTGTATCTGCACCAATGTGCGCTAATTGGACTTGTCAAGAAAGGTCCTTTGAGCATAGGAAGTGAGTGTGCATGCATAAATTTGTGTGTGTTTGAGTGCCAGGCGGTTATATAAGAAGAAATAACTACCCCTATCTCATCATGCTGGTAACAGGGTTGTGTTTGTTGGTATAAAGCGCTGTGTTTCATTAGAGAGTCTTTTCTAACACCCTCCTCCCATCTCTCTCTCTCTTTCTCTCTCCCCCTTTCCCTCCAGGGACGAGTTCTCACACCAAGTGCAGAGCAGCGAGCAATGAGGAAGAAAGAAAAGAGGTGCTTGTCCAATCAGAGATGCAGATGGCCACAGAAGACATGAGCACCAGCCAATCTGGCACCAGGACGACTTCCTCTTGCCAATTTGTACATAACAAAACAAATGCGACCCCATAATTGAACAACTGAAACAGTTTACCTTGACACGTATACTGCCAATGAAGTGATACGTACCATTCCCGCATTTATCATTTCTACTTTGATAAATCAGAAATTCCGATCACGAGTTTTATTCAACTCAATGTCCAATTACAGGTCAAGCTAAGGAGAAACGGGGACATTTTACTATGCTGTGACTTCTTTAGCAATATAGACTCAACACCGAGATATCACTGTACAAACAGGCCCTCGCTCCCTTTCAAATGGCGCTAGCCTGAATGAATGAATGTTAGATGGCAAGCATCTCTGCCCGGCTTTCTCCAATGGATATTGTGACGACATCCCAAATGGCCCAGAGGACAAGACAGCGACGGCAGAGACATAACGTGACCGGAGGTTCTTCGTCAGTGGTCCTGTCCACAGCCAGCTCCTTCCTATGTTGGCTCGCCCTGCTGTCAATAATGCGATTGCCAATGGTAACAGCTGACTGCTGGCTTATCGAAGGCGAGAAAGGCTTTGTGTGGCTGGCTATCTGCAGTATGAACCAGCCACCTTATGAGGCCATCCCCTCCCACATTAACAGGTAAGGAAACTTAGGATAAAAGAGTTTTGTCGATATTATTTTGCCTTTTGTCAAAAAAGAAAAAAAGAATCTAAAGCCTTCACACTTATCTCAACAGCACTATTGTGGATCTGAGGCTGAATGAGAACAAGATACGGTCGGTCCATTATTCTTCCCTCAGTCGCTTTGGCAACCTCACCTATCTGAACCTCACCAAGAACGATATCAGCTATGTGGAAGACGGAGCGTTCTCAGCACAATTCAACCTGCAGGTGAGCAGTTCTAGACACAGGTTAATGGATGCACATACACACAACCGTGTACTGTGTTTTGGTTGACATATTTGGGTATGTTAAGATACTTTACAAATCAGCTCGTTCGCACTTCCAAGTCATTAACACAGCAGCTTGGTCAGTAACCCTACACTTCAATCTATGATGCTCTATGTGGCCGTAGTTGTGGCGACAGCAAAGGACAAAGTTAGGGGACATAGCATAAAGATATGTCAAAACATGCAGGACTTTCACCCAGGAGGCCATTGTTAATGTCCTGTGCGAAACTGAAAGTCAGTGTTGAGTTATTTTAAAGTAGTGTATGACTTAACATACTTAACTTACTTCAAGTACGTAGCATCGCCTACTTAATTACACAACGAACACACTTACAATTATCACTAACCACGATCTTTTCCGTGACCCAACTGAGTAGTTTATTTGCCTAAACCTAACTAAGTTGATTTCTGAAAATGTAACGAGCATAAATGTATACATGCACAACTGACGCCACAGAGGTACACGGAGCCAGTTTGAAGCGTAGGACCACTGACCAAGCTGCCGTATGCGACTACTTGACCTAATTTCAAGAGGAAATCATTTCCACATTACATGTATTTGAGTTATGTTGGATAATGTTATAGTTGACTTAATGTTTTAGACATAAAAGCTTTGATCAGCATTCTTACAAATTAAACTAACAGACAGTATGTACGGTAGTTAAAGTTAGCTCCAGTTTAACCAGCAGCACTATTAAAATGCAGCTTTCTTTTGGTAAATAGAAAAAAAAGGTATCATTTTGTTATTGGTACTGAACATTCTTAAGTTCTTCATAATGGCTACTATCACTTACTCAACACATAATAATTCATGCTAATTGTGACTGAAGGACTTATCAAGGGGAGTATTTCCACACTTGGGTGAAGGATCTAAATTATTCCAGAATTATACACACACAGATGGACACACAGAAAAAGAAAGAAACCGCTCACTCATTATTCAGGCAAAAGTGTTTTCACCAAACTGAGCTGAACGCAGCCATAAAGAGCTGGCGTACTTAGACATACACTACCCAAGCTGCTGGAGCTGTGCCAGGAGGTAGAATGTGAACAAAAAAGATCTTAGTTAATTGAGCACAGCATAGAAGCTTAGATCACCATGTGAAACATGAATTGTACTGAACCGTCGTCTGTTTGTTCTGCATGTTTCCAGCTTGTAGTGTGTGAATGCTTGGCGCTGGCCGCCTCTTCAGAGATTAGAATAATCCCACTTGTGTTTGCCTCTCCAGGTTCTCCAGATGGGTTTTAACAAGTTGAGGAACCTGACGGAGGGAATGCTGCGTGGTCTGGGCAAGCTGCAGTATCTCTACCTGCAAGCCAACCTCATCGAGACCGTTACACCCAACACCTTCTGGGAATGCCCTAACATAGAGAACATAGACCTCTCCATGAACAGGTATCCACCTGGGTCCATGCATGTGTGTCTAACGAGAGAGAGAAAACATGCTGCGGTGTTTGTAGATTAACCAATTACATAACTTTGAGAAAAGAATACTCGGCACTTATCAAGATTTGGTTTAAGATCTGTTTCATGAAGGGGAATTCAACAGAAAAGCTGAAAAAGGCTCATCGCAATCCAACTTTCTTCATGGGTTCATCATTCTGTGTTCATTGGTGTATGATGCCGACTTAAAAACTATTTGAAACCTTTTTAGATCGGAGAATATATTAAGTTTCTTAAATGCAGCCAAAACATCAATGATGAATGTCAGGCTTGGTGTCATCAACCCATAATCAAAGATCTAGAGCCGCTTTCTAAAGTCACCAATTTGCACTGATGTTTTGCAGACTTGCTGAGAAAAAAGCATTGCAGAAGATGCATAGATACACTTTTTTTTTTTCCTTCTCACTGACAGTATCCTCATTAAAACCAAGTCGAGATGCTTTCTCTCAGTGGGAATAACTGTCTTGTTCATACTATTGGTACCATAACTGGTATTGATCTCTTGACTGAAAAGCAACAGCTGAATGTAAGTTTAACTGCTCTTTGGGGCTTGTTCAATTTTGGAAAATCTTTCACTGAAGTACAAGACGACTAAGTAACAAGTGGATTTAAAGCGAGAGCCTGTATATTTTGATCGTTAAAGTCTGTTTACAGGTCTTGAGGAATACTACTGCATATGTGGAAAACGTTCCGAAAATATAAATTCAATGTCGGATCAATTGCCTCCAGTGATGTTACTTGAGGAGTATGAAGACTAGAAGTTTGAAAATGATATTTCTATCTAAAAATCTATGATTTTTTGTTTGTTCCTTTTCAGGATCCAGGTGCTGGACGGCACTTTGTTCTCTCAACTCTCTAAGCTGACCACTTGTGAACTCTACACCAACCCCTTCAACTGCTCTTGTGAGCTGCTAGGTTTCCTTCGCTGGCTCTCGGCCTTCCCCAACAGGACCAGTGAGAGGATGGTGTGCGACTCCCCTCAAGGATTCTTCGGCTACAACCTCCTGAGCCAGAACCCCCGCATGCCGACCCAACGCAACGCTCTGCACGTGCTCAGTCTTGTTTGCACAGACGACGGCAGCAGCGTGACGACCTACTACACGATCGGCATGGCAGACTCCACCACCCTGCCCCCAGATTTTGCCTCTCCCTGCGGATTGGACGATTGTGCTTCCGGGACTCCTCCCGATGAGGTCATCAACATAAGCCCCATTTTCTCTGACATCAAGCCGTTAATTATGCTGAAGCAGGTGCTTCATTTGAGCGCTGTGATCACGGTTCAGATTCCTCACCCGTACAGGAAAATGTACATCCTGGTGCTTTACAACAACAGCTTCTTCTCAGATATCCAGAATCTGAAAAATCAAAGGGAAGATATTGAGCTCAATAACTTAAAACCTAACACCGACTACACATACTGTGTGGCTTCTATAAGAAACTCCTTGCGCTTCAACCACACCTGTCTGACCATCTCCACTGGCCGCCGAGCCGGAGAAGAGACGATAGCCAATCAGTCGTCAGCGACCCACTACATCATGACTATTTTGGGCTGTTTGTTTGGCATGTTACTCTTTCTTGGCCTTGTTGTCCACTGCCTGAGGAAGAAAAGGATCATGCAGGAGAAGGAGAGAAAGATGAGCAGGATCCAAAGGACTCTGATAGAGCTCAAGTATGGTGGAGAAGGAGACATAGAGGGAGGGAGCGGAGGATCTGTTTCCCAGAAGCTTGGTGCCGGGGAGAGTCTGTCCAGAATGCCTTACCTTCCTCAGGGCGGGGAGATTGATCCATACAAGCTGCAGGAAGTGATAGAAACACCGGTGCACAAGCCTGCCAAACTTAACTACATGGAGGTGAGAGGGTCTGGCACCGAAAGGGAGAGAGATCGAGAACGGGAGCGAGAAAGAGAGATGTCGCCAGAAGCGAATCCCCAGGGCTCAGTAGCAGAGATCTCAACCATTGCTAAGGAAGTTGATAAAGTTAACCAGATCATCAACAACTGCATAGATGCTCTCAAATCGGAGTCTACCTCCTTCCAACAGGGGATTAAATCTCCCTCTTCTGCAGGCGGAGGGGCGGTTTCTACTGCAGAGCCGCAGCTGGTGCTTCTCTCTGAGCAAGTAGAGAGAGAAAGAGGAAGCGAGTTCCTCTCCCCGGTGTATAAGGGAGGAAGAGGAGGAAGAGAAGAGAGGGAGAGAAGCTATCATCACTCGCTGCAGCGACACCACAGCATGGAGGCACCTCCGACCTCCAAAAGGCCCAGCACCTCCTCTTCTCCTGGTTCTGCCCGGAGCCCTCGCTCATTCCGCTCGGAGGGAGGCTACCACTCGTCGGAGACCCGTTACATCGAGAGGAACTCAACCGGAGAGCGAGGGGAAAGGGGAGGCGGAGAGGCCATTCGTACGGTCACGCCTGCAGCGGCTATCTTACGAGCTGAAGCACAGAGAATCCGCCAGTACAACGAACACCGTCACTCCTATCCCGGCTCCCAGCAGCACCTCCAGGAGCTGCAGCACCACCCCCACACCCTGCAGGAGCTCCACCACCACCCGGGTGGCCGTAAGCCCTCCATGTTAGACCCCCTCACCCTGAGCAGGCAGACCAAGCAGCGGGAGCTGGCCTACTCCCAGCTCTCGCCGCACTACCCGCTCTCGCCCCAGTACCACAACCTCAGCTACTGCTCCAGCCCAGACGAGGACGAGGAGGACGAAGGGCTCCTCTGCACCCCGACCCTGGGGCTGTGGGAGAGGTTCAAAATGCACCGGAAGCGGCACCGGCAGGCGTCCATGGAGGACGAGGGATACGTGGCAGCCGGACACGCCCTGAGGCGAAAGGTTCAGTTTGCCAAGGATGAGGATCTTCACGACATACTGGACTACTGGAAGGGTGTGTCCGCCCAGCAGAAGACCTGAACCCACATCTGGAGACCCCAAACACTTTGAAGATGGAAAACAACAACACAGACTGATACAAAGAAACGACCTGTAAATACACACGACTCGCAGGATCTACGGAATCAAACTGCCCACACACATCTATACACACGCACACACTTTACACAAACCAAGCCTTTGCTTCTGAGAACATGAAGGAGGACCAAACTAATATATTATATTGAACAACAAAAATCATAGCTTATAGAGAGACTGAGTTACCTTTTGTAATGTAATAAACATTATAGCTCAGACTTACGTAGCTATTTGTACTAAAAAAAAAATCAACATTAAGAGCAGAAACCTTAAATGTTGCCAGGCAACCCATCCTGAACCGCCTGGCTATACGCTTTTAATCTGCCTGGAGACTGACATTCATCACACCTGACCGCGGCAGATTAACCTCTCCAATTATTATCACCGCGGTGGATTGATTAAGATGTTGCCTCGCCGGGGAAAAGGTTGTTTTTTGCATCGCGCCCTGCGATGCTGCTTCGGTTAAAAAAAAAAGAAAAAAAAAAAGACATTTTGAAAAGATCTGCCGTGATTTGGGAGATTTTAAAAACGTCAAAATGACAAATTCTGGATGGGTCGCCAGGCAACAGTAATATTCAACTGTGCTGAGAATGAGTAGGTAGCTCTCACCAGGAAGTGAGTATAATGTGCCAAATCAACCAAGTGTGGGGGGGGGGGGGGGGAGAGAGAGATAGTAGAGCCCTACTGTGTACCAACGTCTCCTCGCCACTGTTTTTATATAGAGAATTTAAAAACCTAGAATGATATGTTATTACTATTAATTATTCTTATTACATTACTGGTCTTCTTATTATTCCTATGCTCCACATCATTGATACTCTATTATTTGAATATGGCATGGCTCTGTCGTGTGACTGTTTTGACGGTTCCGAACCTCTCAGCTGAGAAGTGAACACCAACAGAGACAAACAGAATAACGGACGAGACATTCTTCTTTTCTACCAAGAGAAACGTGCTCTCTGCTGAGCCACAAAGAAACAGGCCCGTGGTTTCTCCTGGTGAACCCCCGACTACACCTGCTCCTCATCCTCCTACAGAGGGACCGCTGTACAGACGAGAGAGAGAAGTTCTATATTTGCAACAGAGGTGACTGCTTTGTTTGTACAACATGGTTTTGAAATCGTTCAGACTTTTCAGAAACCAGAATCCCCAAGTTAGTTACCTACCCGCTCACTTACAAACGGTACGTTTTTGATTTTGAACTCAAACTAAAAAAATTCTAATCTTCAAATGAATGTCTTTTAATTCCCACAGGGGGAAACATATCTGCACTGTTCAAAATCAAAAAACGACTCTTAGGAAAAGACCTAAAACTCTCAGCTTCCCGATACACTGTAGCTCCACCATCAACAAATCATTTCCTCTTTTTTCTCTCTCCTCCCATCTCCCAGGTTTTCACTTGTTTTTTTGGGATTCCTCTGGTTCCACTGTGGTGCCATTGTGCCAACTTGACAAATCACCAAGAAGTATTTGAAATGATTTTAAATACTACCTCTTCTCCTTCTCATCGACACACATCAGTTTGCCAGAACAACAACAATTTGCACAAAACGATCCAACCCCATTGGCTCACTGCTCCCCTTCTATCCTCCAATCATGTCTAAGACCAAAGTACTGTGGTAGTAAATTGACCCCTATAGCCCCTAAACCCCGGCCCCCAGCTGTTTACCCACCATCACCCTTGCAGTAAACAACTCCAGCACATGCATACACATTCAAGTGTACCCACACAACCACACACAGATGAATGTATTCATTGAGAAGTTAATACTGTTTAGCAGCTGGAATCTCTGTTTTCTAATGTACAAGCTGTATTCGAACAGTGTCCTCGTCTGTCCGACAGAAACCTCTCTCCGGATGGCCACACGTGTTTCAGAACTGGACATGAATAATGAACATTTGGCTTTCTACAAAGCAAGATCTGACCACTCGGGGCAGATCTCTCATGGACGACTTTCATCACATCAGTTTGAGTCACCGATTGAACCAAATGCTGCCCGCAAGAAGCCCAAAATTTGCCACTGCAGACGTCTATTGAAGTAATAGCAATGGGGTTTTGCCTTATCAAAGGTTTTTCAGAGGAAAATGTTCCTGATATTAGAAGTGTTGTAGTGAAACGTGATAAGAATCAGTAGCGTGATGAAAAGAGACTACATGTATATCTGTGGGATCTAAATACTGGAGGCTGAAAAAGAGTAAAATGTGATAAAGAATACTGCTGTGTAATCTATACAGAGCTGTGCTACAGCAAACTCATTTCAGAGGACTGTAAACCAGGGATGGAGTCGAGAACATTTCAATTCACTGGATTTTTCGAATTTAACATGCTTGAAGTTTTCACAGTATTGACAACCAATTTATAATTACAAATGCTTATGAGGACTTTTTGAATTGAAACAGAAATGACTCCAGCCTTGAAGCAACAATGAAAACTACACTATGGAAACAACAGAGCTGGCAAACAATGAGACGTTTATTGGTGAATGGAAACGCTGTATAAAATTGTTTTTTTTCTCTCTGCTATAATGAGTTCAGAATGCTCAAGTCATTAAGCCCAGTTAAAGCCATAATCGTGGGTTAGTGAAATCACCACAGCTGTTTGTAGCACTGCAAAAAGCACATTCATTAGTGTGTGTTTTTGTTCCTCTCCTTATACTGCAGCAGCTATAACATGGTTCCTCTGCTGCTGCAGCAAACAATCCAGCTCTGATCCAGAAGGAAACAGATGAGCCGTGGTTGTTTCTGCATTACACGTCCCCCAGATTGTGGCTTTAACTTAACAACAGCCTTAAAAACATTTGATTTTCTTTAATCTTTTTTAAAATCAAAGACGTTCCTGGTTTCTTATACTTTTCATGACTGCAATTTTATAATTGCTTGATTCTTAAAGCCTCACTTGAGCATTCTTTGAGTAACAGTAATATCAATGTAGCGATGTATTATAGTACTGTTTTTTTTGTTTTTTTTCCTGTTCTGTTTATGAACAATAATGGCCTGAATTGTTCCCGTGTCAGAGAGTAGCAGAGCTCGTCTAGAGTCGGACGACGACAAGCTGACGGTCGAGGCGACCAGTCGCCAGTGACCCTAGTCGGCGCTGCTATTCTTTGAAGCGTGAAGAAGATAAAACTGTTTTTGAAACTACAATGCCTAGAAAGTGGAAATAAATAGAAGTCCTCCTGACAACGGACAGAAACAACGGAGCATGATGCAAGGAAATCCTCAGTGGATGCTCGTGTTACATTCTTCTAGTGAATGACTCAGGAGCGAGAGAGCAAGAGAGAGAGAGAGTGTAAGAGAGAGAGAGAGAGAGAGAGAGAAAACGCTCTGCCATAGGATCTCTCCGAGGCTTTCTTTCTTTTCTTGTCAAAAAAATCGAAATGAGCACAATAAAATAGCTTTTCTTTCACCGACTCCTTTCCTGGAGAAACCATACGTATGGCAGACGTTTTAAACACTCAGGACTTTCACATTTCAACTAATGTTTGATTGGTTTGCTTTTGCCTAAGCACATCCTTAACGAGTCGGTTTGCCAAAATCATAAGCATGTATGTGCAGGTATCAAGCAACGGACAGCTTGTGGTGCAGTTCGTTAAGGTTTTGAGATATTAAGTCTCTGAAATGTCTGCTTCCACCACAACACAACGGACACGAACAAAATTGTGGTGCTCATTTTTGTAAAAACATGTTAAAGAAAATTCCATATCACTGTCCCCGTTATTGTGAACAACCCACAGACCGCAATGTCAAAAGTTGTCCATGAAGTAGTTCCAGTGAAAACTGTTGCTGGTCAGCGTCCCTATTATTCTGGATTACCTCCCAAATAATAGGGACACTGTTTCGGAGACTAAAAAAACTGCCAAACAATTAGACAATAAGCCCGAGTCATGCCGCGGCTGCTGCTCTTTCAGAAGCTTAGCTGTAGTTAAACCTGTGCTGTCTGGCGTTAAAGTCACGTGATTGCTGCGTCCTCAGAAGAGGTGTAAACTGCAGCTGTGGTTTAGTCTGAACTTAGTGCGCCCTGTAGAAAGAAACTAAAGGCCGCTCCCAACATTAGCAGTACCAGCTTAGCAACACAGATACAATGATGGTAATGATAGTTCCATTGCCCCAGTGAATGACGTTGATGTTCTCTGACTCACATACGTGAGGACGGCTCAGATCCCTGGTTCAGCTGAACCTGTTAGTATAGCCGTAAAAATCTATCTGGACCCGTTGTGAACCACAGCTCATCTCGTCGGGTGCAAAGTGACAGAGCAACGGCCCTGCAGAGTTCATAAACAGCATTCTAACCTAACTTCGAGGGGCATCCTGCCACACAGAGTGTTTGGGTTTCACTGCCAAAGGTTGCGATCTGTCTCCCGTATCTGCCTCCAACCAACACAATGAAGATGAATGACATTGTGTTTGAGGTGCTCACAGCGTCGAGCCATTTAAAACAAGACAAAGAGCCGACGGCCATGCTCGCAGATCTGTGAGACTTTGGCTTACAGCTAAATGCTAACGTCTCCACGCTGCCATGCATCTGTACCGCTGAGGCTGATGGGAAAGTGTTGCAGGTATTTGGTCGTAAACGAAAGCACTGGACAAATTGGAATTTTGACCAGATGATGGAGCTCGAAGAGGAATTAAGGGACCACCAGAGTTATTACCATCATATCCTGAAGGGAACATGTGGGAAAAGTCATGAGCATACATTGTGAATCTCTATAAATGTCTCTGTGCAAAACTGCGTACCAATCATCCAAGTAGATGTTGAGGTATTTTACTAGATCAGTGGAAACGTTGCTTTTCATAGAGCCGCTAGCATGGCAACAAATTCAACAGCAATGTGTTTGTTTAGAATTGTCTCCTAGACAGATTTACCCAGAACTATCTGTCTGACTTCATACTACTAGAAGCAGATTAGAAAACTAATTTGACAGTGTCCTGCTATCTGATATGTTGTTAACTCTGTGGTTGCACAAAGTCATACAGAGTTCAGTAATGATTGCTTTTACGTAGAACTTGTAGCCAGTTTGTAGTTTTATAACATCAAACAACATGAAAACATCACAATCATTAATATTTCAAATTGGTTAATCCATGACTGACTGGTATCTGTGAACAGTTTTTTGGCTTGTAGTTAAATATAATCCCGTTAAATAAAAAAACATTTTGGAATATCTACACTTTTTATGTCTCAGTCCAAGCGAAACCTGGGCAAACGTAAATACGGGCCAAATGCGCTGCAGGAAAACTTGGATTAAAATGGATACTGACAAACCCAGAGCACCCTCCGTCAAAACACCGCTTCAAGAAAGATTTCAAAAAGGGAAGAACTGAAGTAATGTCATGTTGTATTGACACTGTGGATGAAAGGCCGATTGGGAGCGTGTCCTTGGTGAGAGTGTGTGTGTGAAGAACTACACAGCGCGTGTCGATATAATTCTTGATGATGTAACCTACTTCTCTAGCAATTTCAGGATGTTTTGTGCCAAACAAAAGGTTTTGACGTGGTTGGAGTTTGAACTGTCGGCAGCTTAAACATCATCATCATCTGAAATCTAGGCTACCGTTAGTTAAAAAAGGGGCTCTTAACTTTCTTTCTCCCTCCCACCCAGCCGTTTTCTTACAGTTACATCGTCCAATTTCATTCAGAGACTGTTAATGAGAAGCTTTGCTGTGCGTGACGCAGGTAAGTGCATTGCTCTGGGAGACGGCAGCACTGCAGGACAAGGCAGCAGCCTTGCACATGTTATAACACTGTGTGATACTGCGGTTACAAAAGGAAAAACTGAAAAGTCCGAAATGATTCTCACAAAAACACGACTGCTTATCTGTTTTTAACCGAGTTACTACTCAGTAGGCACGCACCGATACCAGTACAAGTATCTATATTTATATGAGATATGGGTACTTAATACCACTACAGTGCTAAATATGACTGAGAAAATCAGGAATATCTGATGAAAATAAAACATGCTTTCAGACTGTAACATGTTAAATATAATACATGACGCTGTTTAACTGAAAAAAGCGGTTGTATCAGAGTAGTTACGATTACTAGTTTAAGTGAATAAGCACATTAACAGGCTGATACCTGATCTTGGTATCAGTAGTGTGAAAACAAAGTCACTTCACCGAGTTCGCCAAACTATCCTTAAAACCACAAATTGCTACTTTTAAATTTTACGTTTGTGTACGAATTAAACAAAGCGTAATTTAGTTACAGAGCTATGCTAAGCTAAGCTATCCGCCTTTTCCTGAAAACATCCCTAAAGAGCAACATGTTAATACAGGTGATTGTGTCTCATTTAAGCGAATAAGCATTTTTTGGAAAATCGAAATGTCTGTTATATTAAGAAATGTTCTCAAAGAGTAGAGGAGCATGTAATTGATCTAAATGCTACATTTCTAATTTGTAATACAATTTCATCGTCAAAAGCACATATGGGCAATGACACAATAAGCCTGGACCAGGGGCTTATCTTTTCAGGTGAAATATGCCCTCAGATTCATAATGGTGGTGCAATTCATGTGCAGGAGCACAATCCTTCTCCATCGTGAACTGAGCGAGAGAAAATTGCAACTTCAGTACAACACCGAAGAGGTTCATTACTCCTTATCTTTAAACTGCCGCGGTACAAAAGGCTAAAGGGCCTGACGGTGGGAGGCTTCGATGAAAACGAGAACATGTCCTAACAGGGTCTTTTCATTATCCTTACATCTCCTATCTGTCCTGTGTGATTTTAACCCAGGGCAGGTGAGTCTGGTATGTCTCCGCAGTTACATCATCTTTCTCCCAAACCTCATTTCCCTCCCTCCTCAGATCTCTCCCTCACTCTCGGGGCTCAGACAGACCGGCGAGCTCACAAGCTCTCACGTTGTGGTGCGAACTTATAAACCAACGGCTGCCGGGAGAGCGAGACACACTGAGACACTGCAATTGTTTCATTTGAAACTTTTTTTTCGACATCCGATTCTAGATGTTGAACTTTTAAAACTACACGTGGTATTTGCGACGCAGTCACAACGCGGCGCGGCTTATTAAAGGGCTCTCCCGGGCTGGCAGGGATGAAAGATTTCAGTCCCGTACCCGGTGGGGCGGTTGAAAAGGGCAGCCAAACAACTGCTGGTATTACTGCAGTGCGCGGTGGAAGAGAACCTGCATTAAGTCTAGTTTTGAAGTGCTGTGGTTGAGGGCTGCCCTTTCTAGATGCGCTCTTATCAAAGCAGTCTGGCGCAGAGCGGAGAGGGAGCCTCCAGCTTGCCCCGCTGTCAGGGTTTGGAACACAAGTAGTTGTCAGACTCGTCACAGCCGGAGCCGCAGTGACCAAAATATCTCGTCTTTTTTATGTGTGCGCTGCCTGTCTATGCCCCCATCACTCTACAGCCGAGAGTACAAAAAGAGGCCCTCCCCAGGCACACACAATAACTCCCGCTCCTTCATCCTCCACGTGGCATTTGCAGTGACACTTCCGGCAGAGATGGAGGGCAGAAAAGATATGGAGGACAGAAAAGATATGGAGGACAGAAAGGGATGGAGAGGGAAAAAAAACCAAAAAAAAACAGAAAGAAGCAGGAAACGGAATTAAGAATAAGGGGCTGAGGAAGATAAAAGAGGACAGACAGACGGGGTTCTTTGCTCATTTCCAGTGTTTTGATTTCTTTCAGAGCCTTGGGGGTTGTCTTTGTGAAATAACCTTTCAAAAGACGGGAATCGGGCTCGCCGTCAGCGCCTAATGTGGGTCAGCCTGTGAAAGGAGGCGGCTTGATAGAGTGCGATGTTAAGAGTCATAAAGGGAAACATTCTCACCACTGTATTACTACATATTAAAATCAACCTGCTAAAGAGAGGAGCCTGTGTCTCACTGCATCACACCACGCGCACGCACACTAGGCCAAGCAGCATTAATAATGTACAGGGTAAGTGAGAGAACACTGTGGAAAGGTCGAGGCTGGCTGAGAGGCGAGCAACATGACTTATGAGTTATTAGGTCAGCGGTTATCTCATCTTTGACTGGGTGAAAGCTGCTAACTGCTTCCTGTTTAAATATCTTTACGAGGGGCCAATCATTTGTGAGATATGATCTGGGAGCGGAGCAGTAACACTGCCAGTCTAAACTCTTTTAAAACAAGGCCAGTTGCGTTTTAAAGCACAGACAACGACTGAACAACTAGAGCTGATGATTGTTGACCCTGAAAGTCGTCTGCTTTCATTAAGAGAGTGTGAGGAGCGCTTGTGTGTGGAGAAATCCAGGGCCAGATCGATGCAGAAAAACAGGAACGAGGTGAGAGCTATGAACTGAATCACACTTATTAAAGACACAATGAACAAGCAGAGAATGAGAAGTAGTGGATGGACTAAGTGTGACGGAGGCTAAATGACATATTTCCTCTTTCAGCCTTCCTCACACTAGCTCACTTTTCCAAATTACCACACAAGGTGACACTGAAACTTGCTCCAAATGTACAAACGCACACCAGCGCGCATTCCTGCACACGCGCCCAGATTGAAGGAGGTTAAGACGAAAGATCAAGGCAGTGCAAATTAAAAGCGCTCTAATTAGCCAAACTGTCACTCTGCAGCTCTGGCAGCCATATTGGAGTCTGCCTGGAGACCTGCCTGCACATTTCCACTGGCCCTCTGATCAGCCACATATACGGTTTGGGAGTGAGGATTAGAGGCAGCGGCTGTTGAGAATTACACTTGCCAGACATTCAGCATTGCAGCGGCTCCAAAAAGTTATGATTGGAGAGAGATGCGTTACTGAAACGGCTCTGCGGAGCTCCATCATCAGAGGTGTAAACGCTGCCCCGGTGCAGCTCCGTCCAAATCTGTTCTCCTGGTCCCGCACCAACTCGGAGAGCATTATCGCAGCATTAGCCTTGGCTAATTGTTATGCCAGAGGAGGATCATGAATTCGTAGCCACTGCTAACAGAAACAAAATACCCCAAATTTAAATTTTTAGGTTTAAACAACTGTGAATGGGATGATATAGGATCAAAAAACACTCAATGAGTTGATCGTGGTGAATTTCCATTATCGGGATAATCGTGAATATCATCGTGAATGACATGGAAGAAGCTGACTTGCCAGCTACTGTGGTAAAGAAGTAGAAAAATATTATAATTTAACAACAAAATGTTGCAATTTTTTATTTATGTATTTATGCAGGAGGACCTTATGGTTGATTGCTCACGAAAAAAAGGTAAGTATCCCATCTGTGATGCAGTAGAAATATGTGTTCCTTAAAAAACAGCATATTTGAAGATTATCAAGATAATAGTGAATTACAATTTTTTTGGGGCCGAGATAATCGGGACATAAACAACCATTTCAATATTAAGCTTTCTAGTGTTGCTTGAAGTCACTTTGTTTAGATATATGTATTGATTTTGTCATTAAAGCATCTATTAGTTTGCTTTGATAAGTATATTTTATTTAAGGAAAACATCCAATAAAGCTAGAGCAGTCTGTGTGGCTTTCGGTTTCTTTTACTACATATTGCCACCCTCATGATTTAACCTTGCAGGTTAGTAATCAGATGCTCATCACCTGGGAGCGAATGGAAAACCATCTGCATTGCTGCTCAACATTTTCCAAAACACTGATTTCCCACCTGCCTCTGGTAATAAGTTCATGCAAGAAAAGCATGAAAACCTGCAGCAGCTTGAAATGTGGTGGAGTTTAGTAATCCATCGCAACAAACCGTTTCTTTTCCTTTTGGGGTTTTTGTCACAGTTATGTTACTGTCATGAGGAAGCAGCACGTTCTAGAAGCTCTGCCTGTTGGTGCTTTCAAGCGCACGCTGACAATCGACCTTTCAGAGTCGCCCACAGAACGCTTCATTGAGTTCATGCGAGAAACAAAAAGAGAAATGACATTATGCTGGACACGGTTTAATTTCCCTCAAATACTGTAGCTTGTCGATCCAATGCTTTCATTTGTCTAAGAGGATTTAAGAGGATAAATCATGTTTTGGTTGAATTGCTCACAACTCATATATCCACACGAAGGAGTTCTACTGTGTTTAGAAGAGAAAGTTGTAAAAAGACGTCTGTGGCTCCGGAGCGAGCTGCGTGGAATCTGATAAATTGCCTCAAGTGATGCTACTGGAGTCAGCGTTTGCTGGGAGTGAAGACTACATTAAAGACCGAGAGAGCAAGAAATCAGAGCAGTCCGACGTTCAGACATGTTGTAAAGAAGTAAAAGTTCAAATCAGGTTTAAGTACACGCTTGATCTGGATGTAAAACGGACTTTCCCTTATTTGTGTGCTGTAAATGTTGGAAATAACCCCGCATTCATAAGAACAAAAAGAATGTGTGCACAGCTACAGGAAGTACAGTAGGTCAAATATGAACCAGTGGGTTGTCTGTAAACTGTGATGAATGCTTACTGTTGTTTACTTGTTATTGTAACAGCTGGAAATGTGACAATATGACAATAAATTGCAATAAATAGGAACAATCCTTTAAAAGATGCTCAGCTACAAACACACACACACACACACACACGCGCACACCTTTCCCAGTGACATCATGCTTATTCTACTCTTCGGGGAACCCCAGGAACAGAGACTCGGATCTGAACTAAAGCATGACAGCTGCTCGGTCTCTCTCTCTGTTGGGACTTTTAAGAAGGAGGGAACGAGGAGCTGAAGGACAAAGTGGGAGAAAGAATCACTTGAAGATGAGGAGCTTCCTGTGCGATTTGAAGGCAGATGAAGACTTTAGCGAGGAAGGTATATAGATTGGAAGAATAGAGGGATTAGAGATGAAAGAAAGACGTGACAGGTCCCGTCTCTCTTTCTGTCCCATAGGCCTCTCTGTCTCCAGCTGAGACTCGTCTCTGTAGTGGTGATGTCTCCTCACAGCAAGTCTCACTTATCAATATTTCTCTGTGGTGAAAAAATTAAATAATCTGAGAGATTGAAATGCCACTCCTATACTTTTTAAAATAAATTAAACATGCACGAGAATCGCCTTTAAAGATTTAGTGCTGCCTGGAAATGATTCCTTTTAAAAAGCGTGCCTTTCAAAATTATTGTTTACCGCTTGATGAGGATTGGTGTGAGAAATCTGATGTATGCTGCGGAGCTTATAAAGCTCAGCTTTGGCATTTTCAATCTCAGTCTACCACTTCATTCATAGTTGATGAGGTATCAGCGGGCGTACTAATTGTTTTCGACAGAGATGATGGGCTGATGAAATAAAGATAAAGGAATGAATAAAAGAGTGGAAAGAGCAGAGAAGATGAGGGGGAAGGAAGACAATTAAGGTTACAAAGGTAGTGGAATAATGAAATGGGGGGGAAAAAAAAACATGGATGAAAGCTGAGTGGACAAAATCCTTTTTCTCTGTAGGCAAAACTCAAAGAGCAGAACATTACAGCCATGGAAAATATCAAGAGGATCGCCGCAGAGTTGCTTCCTGTGCCGTCATCTACACCTTCCTAGGGTTTAACAGCACGTTAATGACGTGGCATTCACTTCCTACCTGTTGTGTAACTACCATTGATCTTCATCATGTTCAGAAAATACTTCTCCCGTTTATTGTATTCCTTGCGGGTCGGTTAATTCTTCACCGGAGAAACTGAGCCCCAACCGTCGGTTAAATTGACTACAAGCAAAACCTTTTAAAAATGAATGGCGACTTAAACAGCTCCTCGGGGACAAGAACGATACAAATAAAAAGCAGGATTACGACTTCATGACTTCCTCTAACGCTTCCCAAATCTGAGTTGTTTCTTATGTTATAGTAGACCCAAAAAAAACTCAATAGCTTCCTTCCCCACTAGCGTCCAGCACTGACTGACTGGGTTGCAACAAAGACAAACAATCTTCTGGCCACCACTTCAAAAAAAGTGCGTCCAGCCTCTATCGGGGATAGAGTCGCCGTTATCTACTCGGAGATGCTCCACCTTCCACAAGCTCTGGTGACAAAGAGGTGAATTTCCACATCCAAACGGACAGTTTTTGTCAGCGAGGGTCAGCATCAAAAGGTGCCCGCTACCCAACTGGCAACATACTGGACTAGTGCACTAGTAAAACTTTGTGGATGGTTGACCCATGCTACCTAGATTAAAAATCTCAATACAAGACAGAGCTGAATTAAGTAGAAGGCTGCACTAGATAGTGCACCAAGCGGATCCAATGAATAAATGACATTAGCAAGAAGCTGTCGTTTAACAGTCTACAGCACAATCGACCGTCTAATCCTTCGTACGTTCTTTGTTTTGCGACCATCACCATCACTTTATAAGTGCTGTGTGCAGAGAGACCAATGAACGAAGTGAATCAGTTTATCAGAAGCCATTTTTTGGATGATGACGTTTGCATTTACGCTGGCAGTGAGTGGTCGAACAACTCTGGAGCCTGAGTCAGAGTGTAAAAGTCATTTTTTAAAAGGTGCAAAAGACCTTTGCACACCTTCGGACAGATAAAAAGGACTTGGTGTGCAAAGGTCTTTAGTCCAACTGCTGATCTGGGTCCTGACGGCCTTTGGGGAACCGGACAGAACCATTACACCTGGCCACACAGCACAGTCTCACATCAACAATGACAATGAAATCCAGTTCCTCAAAGACCGTGGATACGGTGTGTCATCGTCACAGGTACAGTAGACCAGTTGCTGCAAAATGAATATTCATTCAAGTAAAGTCACACATACGCTTTATTGATCACGTTTGAAAACAGTAAGGAGGTACAGTAGCTTTATTGAATGAAGACAGTCGCGATGAAGCTACAGTACTGTTTACATCGCACAGCTTATATAAAAGCCCCTCCTATATTATCTCTAGGTGAGAGCTGCGGGGGGTGGGCAGAAGATGTGCTTGTGTTGTGAAAAAGAGTGTGAACAAATAAAAATAAACAATGACAGTATGTGGCATGTGCAGTACAGGAGAATATGTTTCCTCACGAGACATATGGCTGCACCAGCTGGCGTTCCTCTACCGTCGCTGTGATAAGTGGCTTTATTCTCCGCTCACTTCCTTTTGTTTCTGTTCAGTCCTGCCACACTGTAAAACAGCACGCTCTTAACCCAAATATCAGAGGCTCCTGTGACATTTTCATGACAATTTTGTCATGTTAAGAAAAAATATATTTCATTGATAAAATATTCAGCGTACAAATAGGAATACCAAGATGCCTTCTGAAGCCTTTCTGAATACAAGATGGAGGTGTTCATCCTGCACAACACAGCACCAACCACACTAGTCACATGTCAGAGCTGTTGAAAGAACTCTGTGAATATTGTATGAGACGGAGAAAACGGCAAGAAAGGGAGCGGAAACCAGTTGGCGTCAAGTTACTTCAGACGGTGGTTTGTCGGCTGAAGAGGTCGAGGGTCACAGCGGAGAGGAACGCTGGGATGCTCTTCTGGTGATGCAGATGAAGGGCCACCATCTCCCCCAGAGTTTTGGAAAACTCGGTCTCCATGAGCTGCATGCTTCCATTGGAGCCCTGAGCACACACACACACACACACACACACACACACACACACACACACACAC